TTTCAATGCCAGCCTCTGGCTTCTTTATTATTCCGTCCATCCAGGAACAGTGTACACACACAGCAACTGCAGGTGCTTCCTCAGCCTGACAAAGGGTTTTTCAACCTGAAAGCTTGCTAAGATATATTTCTGTAAATAACTATTCAGTTGGTGTGCTAAAACATACCCAATTAGATTGACCCAAAGGAAAGGACCTTGTCTGCCAGTGCCATGTCCTTAGACCAACACCCCTAGCACCTGATCGGAACGATGCAGGGCCCTGGGCGCATCTAAGCCCCAGAGCTGGAGCTGGCAGGGAGAGTTTTCTGGCAGCTGCTGGAGAAAAAGCTCCTGCAGAGAGGAAAGAAAGGCTCTGTGACAGTTTGGCTTCCTGAGATGCTGCTGGTGCTACTGTGCTGTTATTACCTGTTATCATTTAAAGTAGTGGACTGAGCTGAGGCTGTAGGGGAGGAGGAGACCTCATTGGGGCACACTACCATGTCGTGTAGAGGCCCCATTGCCAGTGAGGGTGCACCTTAACACACACACACACACACACACACACACACACACACACACACACACACACACACACACACACACACACACACACACACAGAGTCACACAGTGAGGGTGCACCTTAACACACACAGTGGAGAAGAAGCTCCTGCAGGAGAGGAAAGAGTCTCCGATACAGTTTGGCTATCTGAAATGCTGCTGGTGCTACTGTGCTAGTGCTCACTAAGTTATTTTATTACCTGTTGTCATTTGAAGTGGACCAGACTGAGGCTGTAGGGGAGGAGGAGGCCTCATTAGGGGACACTACCATGTTGTGTAGAGGCCCCAGTGCCAGTGTGGGCATGCCTTAACACACACAAAGTGTCACCCATGTCATGAGTTTTGCTTGTCACCAGCTTGAGGTGCAGCTTCCCAGAAACCCCTGAACTTATCTCCGTGAACCTTGGCAGGCTTCATGGCCTCAGAAGGGGCTACCATCCCTGCAAGTTTCATCTGAATCAGGTAGGAAATAACAAAGTTATAGGCAGTTTCATGCTTCCCCATTATAGCCTATGGGCGAAATGTCAAAACAGCGCTGAAACAGCTAAATTCATTCTCTAAATTCATACCTTCATTCTCTACCCCCCGCCCCCCCGCAATAAAATTCAGTAGTTTACTTGACTGTAATTTTGCCAGAAGCCCATTAGTGAATTAAAAGTGGAGCCTAGTTTCGTTTCCCATGGCAAAGGAAATTTCCAGGTATAGGGAAACTGAAAAGACCTGTATTTTGATGAAGAATGCAAGAGCCTACCTGATCAATACAGGCTCTGCATCATGGTGCTCTAATCCATTTACTGGTTAACCTTTTATATATGCTGTCATATTTAAATTCTTTGCACTCAGACTGCTGGAATGGAGATATCTTACCAGGTATCTCTTGTTTTACAATTTATAGCTTCCTTAGGGAAGTATGCACAGGAGGGAGACACAGATTCATAGATTGTAAGGCTGGAAGGGACCTCACAAGATCATCAGATCCAGCCCCCCTGCATCAAGCAGGAAAGACAGTTGAGGTCAGGTGACCCCAGCAAGGTGACTGTCCAGTCTCCTCTTGAAGATTTCTAGGGTAGGTGATTGCACCACCTCTGGAGGGAGCTTGTTCCACAGTCTGGACACTCTAATTGTGAAGAAGTTTTTCCTAATGTTGAGCCTGAAACAGTCGTCTAGGAGTTTGTGGACATGTGAACACAGAACATTGTCAGGGGATTGTCCTTTCTGATGGAACTCCTGCCACAGTAAAGAGGAAAGATCACAGACTTCAATACCCATCTCTTCCATTATTCTCCTCAGTCAGATACATAAATATGTAGGGTGACCATATTTATGGAATGTCTAAATGAGACACTCCTTTTCCACATCTTGTATCCAGCATGCTCAGCTGTCTCTGACATAGAGTCTTAGCTGAGTGTGCTAAAGGGGTTGGGTTGGGGAGGGAGGGTGTACACTGCTGGAGAGAAGATATATATGTGAAACAGTCCTGCTTTTGCTGGGACAGTCTTATTTTAAACATGTCTCAGGTGTCCTGCTAAGAATGGGACAAAGAAATAATTTGATGAAATCAACAGGGTACCCATGAAAAGCATTTAAAATGGGGCTATCCGAGTGAAAATGGGATGTGTGGTCACCCTAGAACAAAGGGGAATATGGAAAGGAAAATAATATTTTATTTTCTAGTAATATATTATTTTCCTTTTTAACATGAGATAAACCATGAGATAACTAGGAACAAACTGGGAATGAATGAATGAATGAAAAGAAAGGGAAGAAATGGATGAATTCCTCTGTCACACAAGCTGGCTTGTCCTTCCAACCATTGCCGCTAAGACAAACTACGTCAATAATGATCTTTTGAGTCGTCCAAGGCAAAGCAAAAAAACCAAAACCCTTTGCTTGCTCTCTCTTTCTCTTTTAGTATTCAGTTCATGGCTTTCCAGGGAGATGTCTTACACAAGGATAACATAATGAGAAAGTGGGAGGGGGAAGAACCCCACCACCCATGAAAAAAGAACCCATCACTTACAAGGCATCAGAAGGCAATAGCCTCCCTCTCATATTAGTGCAACTATTATAATATTGCTGGAGGAAAAAGTGGAGTCGGGTCTCCAATCAGCTAGTGCAGGGGAAGGCAAAATACAGCCCGTGGGCTGGGTTCTATCCAGCCTGCAGGGCCCCTAAAAATTTTAGAAAATTAATATTTATCTGTCCCTGGCTGCTTGTCAAAGATGACAGGAGCCAGGGGCAGTGAGACTCAGGGGGAGCCAGTGGCAGAATGAAACATACAAAAGCAGCAAGTCCGGTAACACCCCTCCCTTCAGCCTCCCTCCTCCACCCAAGCCCCAGCCGGAAGCCTCTGCCTATCAGGCTTCTGGAGGCTTCTGGCCTGGGACTGTTCCTGCCTCCCCGCATGGAGGAAAATGCAGATAAGAAGAAGGGGGGAGGGAGGCAGGGGAGGACTGTGGATGATCACCCGAGTCCTCAGTCCTGGGTCAGGCCAGCTCCTATGGTTCTGGTGCTGCAGCTAGGAACCATGTGGTGCTAGAGGCTGGCTGGTGGGGGGTGAGCGGGGAAATGGGTGCAGCAACTGGGGGGAAGGGGCAGTGAGCAGATGCGCGGAGCACAGCAACAGCTGGGTGGAAGTGCAGGGCCCACACCAGTGCCCTGGGGCCAGTGCCGCCAAGGCCCAGAGCAAGGTGGTAGGAGTGTGGGCCTGAGCTGCCAGAGGCTCTATGGAGCTGGGCTAGCTCCTTCCTCTCCCTGCTTGAGTAGCACAGCCCGGCTCCATAGAACTCCTGGCAGCCTGGTCCCCCAGGTTCTGCCGCCCCTGCTCTGGGCTCCACCGGCACTGGCCCCGGTGCACCGGTGTGGGCCCTCTGCTCCCACCTGGCTATCACTGCACTCCACACGCCCATTCACTGCCCCTTCCCCCTGCCTGCTGCAACCATTTCCCCGCTCGCCCCCACCCTGCCCGCTGCGCTCCAGCATCACTTAGTTCCCAACTGCAGTGCTGGGACCACAGGAGCAGCTGGAATATGGTGCTGGAGAGGCCAGGGGGAAGATGGGGAAGCAGGAGGAGAAGGGTAGCAGTGGCAAACAGGGGGCAAGTGGCAGTGAGCAGGAACACGGGGTCTGTGCCAGTGCCCTGGGGCCAGGAGTGACAAGAATGCAGAGCCTGGGCTTACAGGAGCACTGGCGAGGGCTCTGCCTGCCACAGGAGGGGGACCAGGCTGTGGGCAAACCCTCCCCCTCCACCCAAGCCACAACCCTCCCCAACTACCCTCCCCCTACCCACTCTCAGCCCCCCATAAAACCCATACCTACCCACACCCCTGACACCTATCCATTCCCCAGAAATCACACACACACACACCCTGCATCACATACCCACAAAACTATACCCACTCTCCCACCCACACCCTCCCACAATATACAAGGGTAAGACTTTATTTTAAACTATTATACAATCACCTCTATGTACACTACACAAATGCATGTAAATCAGGACAAAAATATTTTTTGACATGAAATTAAAGAATGTTGTAGTACATGTTTGATTTTTAGAATATAATTTGATAGTCTCATTTTTCTGGTTCAGACATGGCAAAACACCTTGCTGAAAGGAATAATTCTAGGGGGTAAGGGGAGGCACTTCTGGTGGCAAAGGTCACGGGTTAGGGGGGCGGGGCTTCTGGTCCCAAGATGGCGATTGGGGCGGGGCACCTGTCAAGGGGCAGGGCTACCCATGTGGCCCTCAATGGCTTGCCAAAACTCAGTAAGCAGTCCTCTGCCCAAAATAATTGCCCACCCATGAGTTTGTGTGTGTAAACTTTGTAATTATATTGCTGCCTTAATTAACAGCAGCTCATCTCCCCTCCACCATATTTGGGAACAAGTCTTAATTGTACTGATCTGTCATAGAAGAGAGGGCAAGAGATGTGGAGGTCAGTTGTTGATGCTTACAAAACAAGAATTGAGCATTTTGCCCAAGTTATTTATAAATAGCTTAAAGTTTATAATACTATTGTGACCCAACATTCAGAAGAAATCAGTGATTTTTTGTGTTTTTAAAATGAATGAGAGAGGGAATCTATGTATCTATGTATAGTTTTCTTGTTTTAGGGTAACTGTTTGGTTGTCAACTGCTCCAACAGAGCCTCTAACCCATTGGTATCAAGTACGCTGTCTTCTTCAGACTCCTCTCTTTGCCAAAGAAGGGGAAACTCTCTCAGGGAAAGTCTTGTTTGTAGCCAATAAACGGTAAGTAGCAAAGCATCCCCATCTTGCTTTGGTATAACTCTTTGGTGGTGGTTTGTGAAAATGCTGCCCCTATTAAAGAAATTATAGTACATAGAGTGGAAGAGGGTGAAAGCAATGATAACTATATATAGCAAGCCATGGAAATAGAAAATTTGATGGATTATGAGACTGGTTTTAGTTATGAGTGACTGGTGCCTCCTGAATCTGGGGGGGCATCCACAAAAGCCACCGACGGCAGCGGCCCTGTCACGGGGGGCGTGCCCCCCTCTACCAGTCGCCTATGATTTTAGTGCTTTGCATCTCTATCCAAGCCTGCATTTTTTTAATTCACCTTTACTGAGGAATATAAAGATAACATGCCTTGCCAAAACATTGAAGGAACATTTCTTTGTTATAGAGGGAGCTGGAAAAATTACCAGCTCAACATATACCTGCCAAAAGATTTGACTTAGCAACTGATGTAAGGAGCCCGTCAGCTTTCACTGCCTGTTAGCATCAGTCTGTCCACATAATCCCACAGCAAAATTGATTTTTATGGAAAGAGAAATAATGGCAGCAACAGCATCCCCTTTGGTTTGAAGCTCACAGCTCTTCTGGTCTGTTAATGGTTTAGAGATGCCTCATTATATGTTCACCACCGTTGTCATATTTTTTTTTATTTCAGTACAAAAAACTTTCTTTGCAAAATTCAAATGTTTCTATTTTCCCCCCTTACTGAGCCCATGTGGAGACAAGGAGAATGGAATTGGGGAATCCTCCCTACATTTTTACTTCTGAAAAGGATTTCCTATTAAAGCAATTTTCCTTATTTAAGAATTTGCTTGTATATCACTAATCTATTGCCTTTCCTTTTAGTGTGATTAGCAAAGATGTGGGTTCCCTGAGGGGGTATGTTTTTTGGCAGAATAGAGGTATTTAACTGCATTACTGCTGTAACTCAAAGCTGCACCCTTGTGACCTGCTTTGAAAAAAGCTGTGAAGAGATTGGCTGGCACAACTGGTTCATTTCAATCTGGTTTGCTTGTGTGCATTTGTGGTTGTAATTGAAAGCAAAGCTTCCTCTGTGTAAAGCAAGCAAGTTGTTTTTGTTGTTTCTGATCTGGAAATATGCCACCCCAGTCAGGTGAATCCTGATAAGATCAGAGATGCTCACAATATTCTCAAAGCACTTCATTCACACCCGCAACAAATGCCCATCATGGGACTTGTCAAATTTCCAGGTGTTCTGGCTAGGAGATAAATAACACCAGTCACAACACATTCCTTTCAGAAGTAAAAAGTATCAGCTACTTTGTGCGTAAAGATAAACGGTGTACTCCATAAAGTGACCACATAGCCACTGCTGTAATTACATAGTCTTCTTTATAATTCTGGCTTGGCAAATGAACTGTAGACAGCTTTTTGGAGGGCCATTGTATCTTGGCTTTCTTCTAACAGATTTCCTTTGCATCAACTTTGGACCCAGTCCTGAGGCAAAATTTCACTGGGAGCTTTGCATTTTTAAGCACTGTAGAACTGGGTCACATGTTTCTAGCAAAGATTGAGATGAAAGTATAGGTAGACATCTAGTGTACAAATCTTTACAACTGTTCTGTATACCTTCTTAATTTTTTATACTATTCTTATCACCATTGAATATGAATGTCCTTTCATATCCCCTGTGTGTCGGGGGGACGGAAGGGTTACAAATACAGGAAGACATGGCAGATTAAAAAGTGAGAATTGAAAGAATATAAAATTATATTATTAATTAATAATGCAGTTCTCTCTTTAGAAATAAACCTGTGTTAAAATTAAATTCTAAATTACCCTGCAGTAAAGCCTAAGCATATTATTGTCTTTTAAAGTAATTTAAATAAAAAAATAGCGCTCAGCTCACTGAAATTTGAAGAACATTCATTGATGGCACTTTTTTGATCATGCACAGAATCAGGGGAAAAATCTTTTAACTTCTGAGGTCCGCTGAAGTGTGCTAACAGAAGCGGTTTTGTTGCAGTCAGCCCCCTGAGAAGTACTTTATAGCCATGCCCTGAGAGAAGCACACACCTGCAGAGCACTTTAAAAGTGCCCGATCACACGACAAATGAACTCATATTATATGAGGGTTCAGATGAAGAGGTTTCAAAACAGAGCACCTTCATTAACTTCCTGTGAAGCGCCATGTCGTAGGGCACTCTTGGTGCCTGCCACTTTAAGACTGGGGCCAAGCAGCCAGCAGGTGCTTAATTGCAGCGGCCATTTTAGAGCTCTGGCCGCTCATATAAACAGGGCAGTTCGCTGCTAGCAGCCCAGGCAGCAACATCATCTGGCTGTGAGGCTCCATAACATCCTGGAGGTAAGAGAGGAGCTGTAGGGGATGGATTGGAGGCTCCTAGTCCTGGGCACGACCTAAACCTGCACCCTGCCGGGAGTGGGTGGCGTGGTGGGGCTCTCAGTGGCACGGGAGCCCCCATGAAATGCCAGGCCAGTGATCACCCCAGTGAAAGGTGGGTAGGGGCACCTTAACCCTAGCCCTCACCTTCAGGTGGGTTTGCAGAACACTGGATGTAGTTGGGGGCGAGGCATGGCTGTAGCCACCTGAGCCCTGTGGGGTGCAAGACCCCACGAGACTCCAAGGAGGGAGAGTGGGGGCCAGGCATGGCTGTGGCCACCTGACACCACCAGGGAGGGAAGCCCCGTGGCCCCAAGTGAGGGGGCAGTGATGAGTAGCCCCGAGTGAAGGGGGTGGTGTGAAGCCCCGAGTGAGGGGGATAAGAACTCCCTGGTGAGGGGTGGCCTCAGAAAGGGGTGGAGATGAAGAGCCCCAGTGGGGGGGAAGGAAAACCAGAGGGCTGAGTACCCAGTATGTTTATATATATATATATATATAGAGAGAGAGAGAGAGAGAGAGAGTTGCCCCTGGAAGGGGCTAGAGCAGATTTAGACCCAGTCAGCTAATTAGCTGGCCACTATCCCGGTAAAGATTGTGGGAGAGGCCCAAAAGATGGTACGTCTGCCACCCAAGGCATGGACTAGCTAAGTCTATGGCCTAAGGGTCCCGCTTCAAGAGGGAGCAAGGCAGGATGAGTTGTTGATGTATGAAAGAGACCCTGTAAGAGAGGGTGAAGTGTGAGAGGCCCTATTGAGAGGAGGGCGGTATGAATGTGTGATGGCACAGCCTAAGCTTAGTCCGGCTGTAGGCCCAGAGCACTGTAACATCTGGATGCCATCTGCGTGGCATGGGCTGTGGTGTAGAGAAGGTACGGAGCTGCAGATAGCGCCCCCTGGCATCAGGGCAAGAATGGGCAGCCTCCTGCCTAATTAAGATTCTTATCTAATTAATAAGAACAAGGCATGGCAGACGAGTCAGGTGGGAGGCATGCTCAAAGGCTAGTGGGGAACCTAGCACTGTGGCTAGGCAGGGAGCCCCCACTTTGCCACATGCCATGAGTTACAGCAGGGAACTGCACTTCTGTCAGCACACATAGTCACAAGGTGCTACATCAAGTATATTACTTAGAGTTGTTGCAATGGAATAAATATTAGTATTTGCATTTTCCCAACTACAAGCCCATTCAGTTTTTGTAGTGCAGAGAGTAATTTTGTCTTAATTACTGTTGGTTTCAGGTTTACTTGTTAGATACAGACAGAATATTTCCTTTCTTTAGACTACATCAATTCAACATTGAGAAAACATTTGGGAGCTGAAAACGTATGAAAGCTTGTTTTCCTTTTCTAGTCTTTTAATAAAAGCCAGGTGAGACATCTGCCAATTCTAAAAACTTGAAGAGCATTGAACCAGATTTCCAGAGGTATTTACCTGAAAAGGAGATAAGTGCCCAGTGGGATTTGTCATAGATGTTATAGACATTAGGGATGGAAGGGACCTCGGAAGATCGAGTCCAGCCCCCTGCCCAAAGGACAGGAAGTTAGCTGGGGTCATAGGATCCCAGCAAGATAAGCATCCAATTTACTCTTGAAGGTGTTCAATGTAGGTGCTTGAACGACCTCCGATGGCAGGCTATTCCAGACCTTGGGGGCTAGGACAGTAAAGAAATTCTTCCTTATGTCCAGCCTGAAACGGTCTTGCAGTAGTTTATAACCATTTGACCTTGTCATCCCTTGGGGCACTCTGGTGAACAAACGTTCCCCCAGATACTGATGGTCACCCATGATAAACTTATAGGTGGCCATCAGATCACCCTGAGCCTGCGCTTTTCCAGGCTAAAGAGCCCCATAGCTCTCAGCCTGTCATCATAAGGTCTGTCTTCCTGACCTCTGATCATGTGCGTGGCTCTTCTCTGGACTCCCTCAAGCTTCTCCACCTCCTTTTTGAATTGTGGGACCCAAAACTGGACGCAGTACTCCAGCTGCGGCCTCACCAAGGGCACACACAAGGGGAGAATGACGTCCTGGGATTTGCTTGAGAAGCATCTATGGATGCAAGCCAGCGTTTTGGTCGCTTTACTAGCTGCAGCATCGCATTGCAGGCTCATGTTCATCTTGTGGTCAATGATGACCCCCAAGTCTCTTTCTTCGGTCAGCCTGGATCACCCGCCTGTCTTCAGGTGTGGATGCTTTGCCCCAAAGTTTGGTGTCATCGGCAAACTTGGCCAGTCCGCTTCTGACTCCATGTCCACATCATTAATGAAGATGTTGAACAATATGGGTCCAAGGAAAGAGCCTTGGGGGACCCCACTGGTCACAGGGCACCATGATGATCGACTTTCATCAACCACCACCCTCTGGGTCTGACCATGGTGCCAATTTCCGAGCCAGCGGATTGTGGTGGACCCAAGGCCACAATTGGCCAGTTTTCCCAAGAGGTGATCATGGAATACCAGATCGAAGGCTTTTTTGAAGTCAAGATATATGACATCAATCTCTTCTCCCTTATCCAGGTGATAGGTCACCTGGTCGTAGAAGGAAATTAGATTGGTCAAGCAAGACCTACCCGCAACAAACCTGTGCTGGCTTTTCAAAAGTATTTAAGTTCCCTAGTTTTCAGTGGGAGCTATATAGTTTCAAAAATCACACCAAGCACCTATCAGTCTCTTTAGACACCTATCTACTTTTCAAATCCAGCCCACAGTGACAAGAAATAATCATTTCAGTTCACTAACTACAGCTGATATATCCTTGTTTAATAAATGTTAATTTTTCAATGCAAAACATGTTCTGATAAACACTTTTTCCCATGTGTATGTGGTACATTTTGATGTGGTTTTAGTTTTGGAAGCCTGTGGTTGAAGTGGAACATCAGCATAATCTGCCCCATGTATGAAAGCAGACAGACACATTTAGAGTTGGATAGAGTGTCAAAGTGGTCTTGAAATGTAGTGCTGCATTATGCACTGTAGTATGCCTGAAGGTTCCAAAGACACGTATCATTTTGGGGAGGTTTCCATGTAAAAGGAAAGTTCAAAGCATCTTTCCAAGAAAAGATGGAATTGGTCATGGACTGCTACCTGTGCTCTCTGGGCACTGGGAGCATTTAAGGACCCAGAAAGACTTCTTTATTTTGTAATACAACTTTCATTTGTGATGTGCCCACTTGAGAATGAGAGCGCTGGTTTTTTTTTTCCTGCCATTGCTGCTACCATGCTTTATTTAGTTAATCTATACCCCAGTTGGTCTTTACTATTAATTTATCACTATTTCCCTCTAATCTACCTGCCTAAGTGTACAATATTCTGTGGGCTTAGTTCATCCTGACTGTGCAAGCAATCCCTGGTTGTTGGATCCTCAACTGCAGCCTCTGTTCAAGTAAAAGTTGTTATGCAGAAGGAGGAGAGATCACCCAACAAGTTTTTCTGCTGCCTTCTTTCACAGATTCCATGACAGAGAGTAGCTTTAAAGTGCAGTTATGAGCCCAGTAAGCAGCTCAGGTGATAGAAGCTGCTCAAAAGATAAGTTGAAACAGGACAGCCATACTTGCCTTGGCCATGCTTCCTCTTTGGTTAATGCTACTGACTTTTGAGGCTGTGCTTGATGGCTCAGCTCCCACTCGCAGTGCAGGGGCTGTGGGTAACTTGTGCCACAACAACCTGTCCTGTGTTTATATTTCTGTTAGAACTGCAGTGAGCCTTGTATTTGATGTTCTTACATCACAGGTTGCCTCTAGCAGACAGGTTAATTTAAATGTTGGTTCCTCTTGCTCTTCCAGAAGAATTAATCGTGTGATGTCCCCTGCTCAAAAGAGCAGTTTCTGTTGGCAATCTGTGTCTTGTATATAGCTGTAAAATAAATGAAAAAAGGTCTAAAGAGTGATTGTTTCCAGAATCAACAGTGATACCATCAGGTTAAAATAATTTCTGCAGTTATGGAGCAGAACCTTCAGCCACAGGAAATTTTTTTAAAAGTATTGACTCACCTTTGCAAAACAGGGTTTAAGCTACAGACAAAGAAGTTAAAAAATTGAATTAGTTATATAGAATATGTGAAAAAATCCTCCTGTCCCTGTTTGGGGTCAGCCCAGCTACACCCCTCTGTCTTTCACTCGCTTGCTATTTTGTTCAACCTGATCACCCAGGTTACTGGGCTAGACAAATTCCTGGGGAAGTGGGGAGCTCGCTCTCTTCATCTGGCGGCATTTTTTTATCCTATTGAGTAAAGCCCTCAAGCTGCTGCCTGAAGATGTTCTGTAAATAAAAACCTGGAAACTAGCTAGTAGATTACAATGAAGTAATATAGTCACATCCTAAAAGGGTCCCCAAACCCACTATTTGTGAAGGCTCAACTTACTGTGGTTTGCTCAAAATGTTTTTCTAACTCCTTTGTTCTACACCCCCCACCCCCCTCCCCGGATCAATAAAGGTATTGGGTTACAGCATGACTGGCTATTTCACTGTGTAAGGGGTTGAAAAGGGGCCTTTCTGCTTCCCACAAAGCTTGGCTATTTATTGTTTTCCTCAGTTGTACCTTAGGTTACCCTGGGAAGTTTCAGGCTAAAAGAAGCACCCAGAAATATTACCAGTGTGCAAAGCAACCCCCCAGGCTTTCAGGGTCTGTGTACCCCAGGCTGCACAGAGCCCTAACAGAGACCAGTGTCTGGGTGGTGACAGTGTTACCCTAGACTTTTGGGTGTTCTCCTGGAAGGGGATGGATAGCCATAGGCTCCCTAGGGGAGACTCCCAAAGCATGGTTTTGGGCCTGGCACAGTGAGGTGGGTGGCTCAGCATATTTGTGGCCCCTACTGTTCCACCACAGAGTATTTTAAGGCTATGTAAGTTTGGTCACTTTGAGGTTCTTGACTATAGGACTCAATATTAACATTACTTAGAACCTGGGTGTGGTTAAGACAAACCAAAAACAAAAAAGTGTACCGGACATTACTAACAAATAAAATGGATACAATTCCTGCTCTGAAGAGTTTAAGACCTAAATGTAGATACACAGGAAACAACAAGGGAACAGAAAAGGAAGGGAGAATGAGAACTATAACATTGTTTTTGATGGTTCTGTTGTATGCATGTGAACCTAAGATTAAATATAATAAACACAGAATACAAGATTATTTCCTCAGGTATTAATGACAAGCTATGGTAATGCTGAACAGAGGCATGTACTAAAGTTTCATTATGAAATGCTTTTCAGAAGTCAGGACAGAAGAGCCATATATAGTACCTCTTTTGTCTTCTGAACAAGAAGTAGTGTAGCTACATTTCAGCAGTGCTTTGGGGTGGACTAATTTAATACTACTGAGTGATTATATTAGTTGGCCCACCAGCAGCTCTGTACAGACCTAGCTAGACTATTTCCAGTTTTGGAGGCAGCCTACATAAACACAGCATTCTTGAGGGCTCTGAATTCACAGTGTAGGCATAGCCAAACTGAACTTCTGAACAAGCCATCAAGAGCATCTCATGACAACAGTGATGCATTCATTTCAAGACTTTCATGGTATGAATTCCATTTTTTAGCAACAAGTTGCTCAGGTGATGCATTCCTAGGCTATTACTGCCTTGTACCATAACCCAACATATGTTGAATGTTCACCAAGAAATGCACTTCCTTCCATAAGCTAATGCTTATAATACAGGAGAACCTGAATTGTTCATATCTAGGTGTTTTGCAACCTGCTTAATTGGCAATGGGTTGCCAAATTTAGGACATGCTGCTCAGCTGTTTGCTGTGGCTTTTACTTCAAAGGGTATCACTTCTCCACTTAGCTGGAGTTCATCAGTAGTCCAGTGGAACTGATGAGAGAAACAGTGACATTTGAAATAAAAGCCACAGCAAACAGCTGGAAACTCAGCAGTCCTGTGCATCTATATGCTGTGGCTCTGTATGCCCCTAGATACTTTCAAAGCCCTTATCTTCTCTGGGCAGGGGGAGGAGGGCAATGGTAAAGAACTTAATGCTGCAAAGTATGTGAGTCTACTGTATTCATGGAATGTCTGATCAACAAAACTTGCTACCAAATGGTACCCCCACAGGCTACCGATGCAAGATTATTTAACTTCATTTAGATTTTGTATAGCAGACTCCCAAGTCACTTGGGCACTTCTGTAAATTTCACCTGCTGTCTATGAATAATTAACTAATTAGTAAAAACTTAATTTCCGCATCTGAAATCAGAAGTATTGACCCCCTTGTGTTCATTGCATGTACCATATGCTTGCAACTTGGACACCAGATACTCTGATAATGCTGTTACTCTGCTTAATGTTACAAACATAATTGTAGATCAGTTACATTACTGTTCTTTTTCCCTATAGACAGAGCTATGACATTCAGATTGTAGCTGTGGTGGACCAGACAGGCTTTAAATCCGGTAATATCCTTGATTTAAAGAATCCGTTTTTTAGGTAAGTAACAATTTTGATACCATTATGATTAATAAATAAAATTTAGCATAAGAAGGAGGTGGTGAATCTTGGGACATCTGTAACTAGAATGAGATGTACAATGATACAAAGCACACACTGGATACTGGAATCTGGTGGAAAGAACCAGCGCTTTCTCTGAAAAAAAGTGAAAAAAAATCACTGGCACCCTTCCTAACCCATTCAATGGGCCTTATTGAGCTGTTATACCACTACAGAGTACCCATCAAGAAAAGGTTGGCAGCTGCAAATTAGATGAGTCAGGAACAGGGCTAGCAGTTCTTGCTGAAGGTAGAGAGCTGAGTAAATAACAGCCTGTGAATGTTCCTTTCAATCCTGTGGGTCCACAGCAGTGTCAACAGCAGTCATGAGGTATTGCCGTAGGCCTTCACCTCTTCTGCAATACCACTGCTTAGGACAATTGTCTCTCTGACAAGGGGTTGTGGAATGAAGAGAAGTGACTATGAAGAGAAGTAGGAAGGGGATGATGATGCTACATAGGTGAAAAAACCTACTAGCTGGCCAAGAGCATTGCATTTTAAGGCTATGCTCTGAGAATAACTCAGCCCTCATGGGTGGATCTAGGGATCTGAAAAGGTGGAAGCAGGAGGTTTGGTGCATCATCATATATAAACATGACATACATTTTTTCTCAAGTTAAAGAGAAACTAGAAGCTTTACTAATATGCTGGCGGCCTGGCGCTACGTTATTCAGTTTAAAGTAAAAATAAACACTAATGTTCACTAATTTGCTAAATAAACTAGGTAAAAATAGTCAAACAGTCAAAAGATAGTGTTTCATTAGTCCTGTAGTCACTATAGTTAAATGTACATCTCTTACTCGAATATGTCAAGCATAGGCGCCAACTTTTATTTTTGCTAGGAGAGCCTAAGGTGATGCCATCCCCATTCCCCCTGTAGCACGGCCAAAGCAGAGCTGAGCAGAGCCCATGGGGAAGGGTAGGGGCAGATGCAGGCTGCCCGCTGCAGGCTCAGGGCTCCCTGCCCTGCTGACCTCCCCTCAGGAGCCCTGCATTACCATGTCGAGGTGCTCCCTGCCCAACTGGCAGCAGTGGAAGATACAACTCTCTGCTGCCAATCCCACCCCTGTTGCTGCCATAGTGGCACAGGGCTCCTGGGGGGAGGGCAGCAGAGTGGGGAGCCCCAAACCTGCAGCAGGCAGCCTGCATCAACCCCCACTCCACACAAATCTGGGGAGTATGTGCCCTCCATGCCCCATTCCCTGCGATTGCGTGCAACAGCAGGGAGACAGCCCCTGTCCGCCCCAGATGAGTCACCCATGGCTCTGTCTCACTCCTGCCCTGGCCCTGGGCTCCATTCACCGCCCTGGCTGGGCAGCACCCCGGACCCATTCTCTCCCTCACCATGGGGGCCTCAATCTGTACCCCCATAGACTGATCTGCAGGCAGCCAGGGGAGCTGTATTCCTGGCCACGCACATGTGCACACATGCAAGTGGTGCCCCGTGTTGTGTTCCCCGCAGCCCCTTGCAAGGGTCCACAGCAATCTGGGTTTGTCAGTCTTCAGTTAGGGACAGGTAGTCACTCTGGCATCTTCCCAAGGGGGAACAGTGCCCTCAGGAACCCCCACATACTCAGCACCCATGATGACAAACAAAATCTAGTCTTCCTGAGTGTCTTGACAGTGAAGTATTGAAGGCACTGTCAGTAATTTCTACACCCGAGTTGGTATTACTACACCCGAGTTAAAGTTTTTAGCTAGAGCTAAAAACAGTCTTCAGGACTGTGAAATAAAAGAGAGGCATTACTAGGAATGGCTAATAGACAACAACTTCACAAAAGAAAGGATAGTTTGAATAGTGGAGCATCAAGACCATTAAAAAAGAGAGGGTCATTAACACCTATGAAACAGAGACAGCAGAGGAATCAAGTAGATGATACTGAGCTATGAAGCCGTGAGCCCTCAATGCTGCATGAATAGAAATCCCACTACCCCTAGTAGGTAGTTGATTTAAAAATGTAGTAAAGCAGGAATCAAATTGGGGTACCACTTCACCCCTCCCCCAGATTCGTCCCATATACACTGCTCAATCCAGTTCATATGCTGTGGAGACGGAGAAAACCTATTATTGGAGGATAGCGGACATATGTGGGTCCAGGGGGAATGTGGCCTATCAGGATCCCTTTGAAGAATGCAGGGGGAAAGGCACTAATCCTCCCTTTTCTGAAGTGAATAAATTAAAATAGTCCCTCCATATTTACCATTTGTGCATTTTGGATTTTAGGGTTAAGTTTGTTTTGTCCCTAAACATAACACAGCAAGCACATCAAAGAATCCCTTAAAAATGAAGCAGAAGGTAGGGTAGATATGCACCTTATAAACTAACTAAGATATATAGAGAGCACTCAGAAAGATTATCTGAGCATACCAGGGCATGTTTCTTGTGTAGATTGATTGCAGTCCATTTCATTTGGCTAATTGTGGTGCCATTCTTGAGCAGAGCGAGGTTGTTAGCTGTGTTAGTTCCTGACTTCAGATGCGTTCAGGGAGTTGTGTTGGCATAAAGAACAGATGTGCTAATGAAAATATTAGAACTAATTTTTTCCAGGTTTTTTCAAGCATGCACATGGGAAATGGTGTAGGCTCATATTATTTGTTTCCCACATGTTGGACAGAGACCTACATGAGGAATCTTCTATAAGTCTCTCAAAGCAGACACTGGCATATGGTGAAATGTTAGGCATTTCCCCTTCTCTTTTACACATCTAGCACAATAGAGGTTGTCTTTTTTAAATATAGATTCCTTTGTGTAAAATTTAATAAGGTTAAATCAAGATCCGTTGGGTAAAACCTGCAGTGATTTTTGTTTGTTTGTTTGTTTTTTTTTTTAAAGCAAAACCAGCTGATGTAAACATTGAGCTTCTTCTGACTTGCTTTTTGACGTAAACTGGGCCCCTGTTGGTTGCATTTTTGGATTGGTTCATCTGCAGAACATAAAATCGTTCTGTGAGAATGGAAATTTATTTTGGCTTTAGCCTCTGATAATTTCTCTCCAGCACCACCCAAGACTAATGTGAACAGATTTTGGAGCAATTAGATTTTGCCAGTCTACTTTTTAAGAGCAAATGAAGGTTGTGTTAAAGTTGTTAAAATTAAGACGATGTTCTTTACAGAAGCACTAACATTTGTTTTCTAAGTCTGTCGCCACTCAGTTAACAAGCATCACTTAAAATACGCTCAAGTTGCAATCAAATATGGAAGTGGTTCGCATTATTTTGGATACAGTTTTAATCAAAAAAATAACTAAAAATGTCAGTGTGTGATTCCATGCTTTGTTTCTCAATTAATTTCCATGTCAAATACCTTAAGTTCATAAATTAAAAAAAAAAAAACAAAACCTAATGCTAGCCTGCAAATTTACTATAATATCTGATGCTCAGGAGCATTTCTTTTTTAAAAAAAATTAAATACAACAAATACATGCATAAATATTATAGGCCTGTGCAAAGTGGTTAGTATTTGCTTCGGATTTGGCCGATTCAGGGGACAGTGATTTGATTCGGTGATTTAATTCACTGTGTAAAATCGATTTGGCCGAATCCAATTTGGAGATTTGGCTGCTGCTGACTCAGCCGAATCTCCGAATCACACAATTGGCCCAGCCCCTGCCCGCTCTGCCGGCCCCGCCCAGCCCCAGCTCCTGGGTCTTTGGGGAAAAAAAGCCCACACTCACTGGCTGCTACTGGGCAGGGGGGCGATCCACACTGCCCCCCAGTGTCCCATGCTGCATGGGGGACTCTGCCACGAGCTTTGGATGCTGATTCAAATCGAATCGAATCGATTCCGAGAGTTTTTTTTTAAAAGGGCCAGGAGCTGGGGTGGGTGGGGCAGCCATGGTGGGGCTGGGGGAGCAGGCAGGGGATGGGGCCTGGTAGGGATCTCCCCATGGTCCCCTCCCTCCTCCCCTCCCCTCCCCTTTACTTACCAGCATGGAGTCCAGGTCCAGCTCCCTGCTGCAGCCAGCGGAGACTGCCTGAATCTCTGAAGCTCTCTGAATCTTTTCTAAATTGATTCAGAGAGCTTCGAATCGATCTGGACCTTTTAATTCGTCTTCTGATTTGATTCAGATTCGGAGATTTGGCTGCTGAATCGGGCCAAATTTCCTTCAAATGGAATCAGTACCCAGAGCTTCGCACAGCCTTAATAAATAATAACCCAAGCAAGGCCAAATACTGCCGTGATTGATGTTTGTGTCCTTGTTGACTTCAGCTGGATTGACCTTGTAGGTAAAATTTAGTAAACAGTTTTATTCCATCCACAAGAAGAAATAGAATCCACATCACTTTCCCTTAGCCATGCTGAGTCTGCAGAACTAATGGATGAAAGTGATAGTAAATGCTTGCTTTGAGCATTTTTTACATTATTTTAGAAAAGCTGTTTTTCCTACTCTCTTTACATTAATATTTAGTATACTTGATATTGAAATCTTCTGTAGCACACTTATTTTTTTTCCAGTACATGAGCACAGAAAGTTTTCACTATAAAATTGTAGTCACTTATTATATTGGTTATTGATTTTTTTTTTTTTTTTTTTTTAATTCACCACGGTTGCAGCCTGATGTTGGGGAGGAATTAAACAAACAAACAAACCCCACCCCCCAAAAACATTGGTGCACCTTTCCTAATATTTCCTGGACCTGAAAAATGCTTCTTTTTTATTTTAATGGTACAGAATGTGGCCTTTGAACCTTAACCAGAGACTTAGAAATGAAGAGGTGAGGGACTAGATTTTCAAATTATGGCAGCTAAGATCATATGGGCTGGGGCAGTCCTAACTTCAGCCACTGACACGAGATTCTCACAGTTCCTTCAGTATGGTTGGCACTTTTATTATCCATCAGGAAACTTTACCCCAATGAAGAATCAAGCATGGTGAACTCTGTTCTGCCTCACTATCCACCCTCCCTTCCTTATCTCTTCTGTAACCCATATCAGAATGTTTCTGTCATGTATGCCCTTCCCCTCATGGTATGAGCCCCCCCTTCCCCTCATGGCAGGGCCCCTCTTCATACTAGGAATTCTCTATGGGCTATTTCTGCTCTCCTGAAGGCTACTCTGTGTTAGTTAATGCAAAGTGACGCAAAAGGACCAAAGACTTGGGGCTGAGCCAGTAGTCATGCAAGAGCAAATATATCTGAGCGTTTTGGCCTCTGTAAAAATGTTTCCATTTTGATTTGCAAAACAAGAAGTAAAAACTCCTCATCCAGTAAAACTCTAAAAACATGTTGCATTTTAATATATTATATTTAGTATGTTAGGATTCTACTTTTTTAATGCATATGTAAACATCGGTGGGACAAAGCTGACTTCCACTATTTCTTTTTTGTATAAACAAATTCTAAGGAGCTGTCAATTAATTTTTTTTGCGTCAGATCAAAGGACAGTTACATGAGTATTATTTAATTTAATTCGGTTAGTGTGGTAAGCCATCAAAAGACTGAATGTTTTATTCTAACTACTGTATTCTTTCATCCATTTTAGGTATGCCTAGTTGAATATATTGTATGGCAACTGAGAAACAGAAACAAGATTCTCAACACCAAATAACCAATGACACTAAAAACCTATTCTGAATAGTTATTACCAGACTGGCTGGTCCTTATGTAAAATTAGATTTTGTAACTGTACATATCTGTAATAAAAATTTTTATGCAAGTAGTCTAATAAGGGAATGTTGCTGTTCCATCCATTTTACTGTAATTTAGGTTGGGCTCACATTTGCAAATGTGAGAGAGGTCACAGTATTTTGTTCTGCAGATCTGTGTTAATATAGATCAAAAAGTGTTTTTGTTTAGTTGAGTGATTTTTTTGCAAAATTGACATTTATTACTTAAAAAAAAGAATATTCTTAACAACACAAACACACCTACCTCATGTTTATATATGCAATACATTGGAGAATCTTAGAAGCAACATGCAATATTCATCTTAAAATTTCCTGGAGATTCCTGGGCACAGTATTTATTTCATTTCAGTATGTCTGGAGCAGCTTACTAAAATATATTAAATATTTTCATCTCCTTCCCTCCAAACAACAGACTCATCATTTTGGTTGGTTCTAAAATATGTGAGCGATGCATATACCTTTTAATTATTCTGTGATTGCTCTGTACTTATTATACAAGGGAAACACTACAACTTTGTAAATTACTCCTAACATAGTTTCAAATAAACAATTAATTATGGGATGTAAATGAGGCTTTAACTATGCTAACTGTAGTTCAGTACCAAAGGACTTACTTTGCTTATAGTGAAGCAAATGAAGACAAAAATTATAGTCATACTGTAATTTCTTATGAGATCTCTCTCAAGACAGTGTAATTCGACAATGATAGCTGGAGCAAGAAGAGATTGCAGGGGATATATTTTTGCTGCTCATTGTGAAAATGTGTAAGAGCTGACCTAACAGGTTTCCATCAGGTCCTAATTCCTGATCTGACTTTGATTGTTGCCTTATCTGTAGTAACAGGCAGCAGCATCAAAAGGCTGCCTTGAACTTAGGATCCTGTATATGCAAGAGGCATACACCAAGGTAAACTGTATTGGTTTTGTACACTAATGTATATTATATTAGAATACAAGGCATACAGACATTCAGTTTTCCCAACTCTCAGTTGGCATTATTACAGGGCCTTGCTACTAGATGACAAGGGAACAGGAAATAGCCAGTTTGCTTTAAGCAAATGGCTACCCCTCAATACCTACTTTGGCTTAACTTACATTGGTGCAATTTTTTACCCTTAATTTTTCCTGAGTAATTCTGCACCAGATTTGAGTGAGTTACAGTTGGGTAGATCTGTATGGCATGTACTTTCTCCACTCTTACATCAATGGAAAGACCAGTTCCACTAGGCAAAATGTCATGTGTCCAGGGACCTAAAGTCATACCATAGCCTGACCCGAGTCTCTCTAGCTTATAGGCAGTATGTGTTCAGAAGGCCTTGCTTTTTGAGTTTGATTAGCAATTCCAGCTTCAGAAATCCCTCCATATGTTGAAATTTAAAAAGTTTTTGCTTAAGGATATTTTATGGAAATTATTAGTTAACATTTGAAACCTGTCAAAATCAAAGATGCACTTCTGTTTGACTGAGGCCATCTAACTAAAGTTATTAGGGATATATCCAACAGAAGTGATAGCCTTACTTGTATGTACTAAGATAATTTTACCACTAAGGGGTTCAGTCTTCTTTTTTGTTTTTCTTGCATTCTTTGTAGCAGTAAGGTGAGATGCAGCAACCATGAGATAATTGGGCAGCAGTGACCATGAAATGATTGAGTTCAGGATCCTGATGAAAGAAAGGAAGGAGAGCAACAGAGTAAGGACCCTGGACTTCAGGAAAGCAGACTTGACTCACTCAGGGAACTGATGGGCAGGATCCCCTAGAAGTCCAGTTTGAGGAGGGAAAAAATACTGGAGATCTGGTTGTATTTTAAAGAAACCTTACTGAGGGTACAGGAATGAACCATACCAATGTGCAGGAAGAATAGCAAGTATGGCTGAAGATCAGTTTGACTTAGCAGGTTTCTCTTCACTGAGCTAAAACACAACAAGGAAGCTTACAAGAAGTCTAAACTTGGACAAATGACTAGGGAGGAGTATAAGAGCATGCTTGGGCATGCAGGGATGAAATCAGGAAGGCCAAAGAGCAATTGGAGTTGCAGCTAGCAAGGAACATGGAGGGTAACAAAAAGGGTTTCTACAAGTATGTCAGCAACAAAAGAAAGATTAGGGAAAGTGTGCATCCCTTACTGAATGGGGGAGGCAACCTAGTGACATATGTTGCAGAAAAGGCTGGAGTATCCAATGCCTTTTTAACCTCAGTTTTCACAGGCAAGGTCAACTACCAGATTATTGCAGCTGGCAGCAGAGTTTGGGGAGGAGGTGAGCAGCCAGCATTGCCCAAAGAACAGGTTAGGGACTACTTGAAGCTGGATGTGTAGAAGTCCATGGGGATGAGTGTGCTGAGGGAGTTGGCCGATGTGATTGCAGAGCCATTCACCATTATCTTTGAAAACTTGTGGTGGTTGTGAGAGGTCCCAGACAATTGGAAAAGGGCAAATGTAGTGCCTATCTTTAAGAAAGGCAAGGAGGAGGATCTGGGGAGCTACAGACTGGTCAGCCTCACCTCAGTCCCTTGAAAAATCATGGAGCAGGCCCTCAAGGAATCCATTTCTAAGCACTTGGGGGGAGAAAAAGGTGATTAGGAACAGTTAGCATGGATTCACCAAGGGCAAGTCATGCCTGGCCAACCTGATTGCCTTCTATGATAAGATGACTGGCTCTGTGGATGAGCAGTGTACATAATATACCTTGACTTTAGCAAGGCTTTTGATATGGTCTTCCAAAACATTCTTGAAAACAAACTAAGAAAGTATAGGTTGGATGAATGGACTGCAAGGTGGATAGAAAACTGGCTGGATCATCAAGCTCAGTGGGGAGTTATCAATCGCTCGATGTCTAGGTGGCAGCCAGGATGAAATGGATTCCCCCAAGGGTCTGTCCTGAGACCAGTTTTGTTCAATATCTTCATCAACAATCTGGAAATGGGATACAGTGCACCTTCAGCAAGCTGGGTGGAGTAGTAGATATACTGGAGGGTAGGGATAGGATTCAGAGACCTCAACAAATTGGAGGATTGGATCAAAAGAAATCTCATGGGGTTCAATAAGGACAAGTGCAAAGTCCTACAATGATGACAGAACAATCCCATACACTGCTACAGGCTAGGAACTGACTGGCTAAGCAGGTACTCTGCAGAAAAGGACCTGGGGGGTTATAGTGGACAATAAGCTGAAGATGAGCCAACAGTGTGCTCTTGCTGCCAAGAAGGTTAACAGCATAGTGGGCTGCATTAGTAGGAGTGTTGCCAGCAGATCAAGGGATGTAATTATTCTCCTCTATTGGGCACTGGTGAGACCACACCTGGAGTACTGTGTCCAGCTTTTGGCCCCCCAGTACAGAAAGGTTGTGGACAAATTGGATAGAGTCCAGCAGAGGACAACGAAAATGGTTAGTGGGCTGGGGGACATGACTTCTGAAGAGAGGCTGAGGGAACTTGATTTATTTAGTCTGGAGAAGAGAAGACTGAGAGGGGATTTAATAGCAGCTTTCAACTACCTGTAGGGTGGTTCCAAAGAGGATAGAGCTAGATTGCTTTCAGTGGTGGCCGATGACAGAACAAGGAGCAATAATCTCAAATTGCAGCAAGGGAAGTTTAGGTTGGATATTAGGAAGAACTTTGTCACTAGGAGGGTAGTCAAGCGCTGGAATAGATCACCCCGAGAGGTTGTGGAATCTCCATCCTTAGATGGGATGATCTTTAGCTGGGATGATCTAGTTGGGGCTGGTCCTGCTTTGAGCAGTTGGGTTGGACTAGATGACCTCCTGAGGTCCCTTTCAACCCTAATTTTCTATGATATCGTAATTTAGCTTGTAAAAAGTATAGACCTCTCTTTCTCTCTCTCTCTGGTTTAGTCTAACAAATATTCTCTGGTTTATTATAATTTCACTGTTTAACTGAGGCAATATTCTCTGATATTTCTGTGAAGTTTCTGTGTTTTTTAAATGTTAAAACACTTGTAAGGTGCCTTTTCTAATGTTTCAGCAAAGCATTTAATGCACACAGTACAGGAAAGAATGTTCTATTAATATATATTAAAAGAGAAAAATTATAACTTATAAATCAATCCTCTCAACACAAGATAACAGAGGAAAGCTGAAACAACAGGAGACTGGATGACAAATGGCTGGGAACTCTGGAGAAAACAACTATGATGTAGGTTAATACATGAAATACTTGAACAGATTTGACTCTGCTCTGAAATAAAATGCCTCTACTTATAGTTAGGTGTTACCTGGATTACGGATGTACTGATAGGTTGGCTGCTGATAGAAGAGGTAAGACAATTCTACAGTCCAACTTTTTACTGGTTTCAGTCCAAAAAACAAGAAAATGTGTGTGCCAGTATCTTCCAGAGTACAATATAGATTCTTACCTATAAAACCTAGGGAGACTCTGAAGGAAGCATGACGGCATGCAGACCAGCACAGCACCAGGGTCCACCAAGTTCTCTGCTTTTCCCTTTAGGCTATTCTCTCTCTCGCTCTCTCTCTCTCTCTCTCAGCTGTATAGTTAGGACAGAGTTAGACAAGCTTTCAAGACATTCTTCATCAGTCTGAGCAGCATTCTCCACATAGTAGATGCAGTGGTACTATGGATTACATCTTGGGAACAAAAAATCATAAACAGCTTGACACTCAGAGCCAAAACTCAACTTTGATATTGGTTTTCTGGCACATTATAATCTATCTGATCCCTAAATTCTCGCCACACATGAAAGGTAAGAAAGACTCTTCTCCCTTTTAAATATCTTGATCTCTCAGTAATCAGCTTCTTTTCTGCTGCTATCTGTTTCTCTTCTACCCCTGGGAATTTTTCTCCCTGCTCTTATAACTGTTTCTTTTATTATTATTTTTTAACTATGCAGACCAGCAGCTCTCAGTGCTTAGACCTGATGAAGAACATCTTGCATTCAAAAGTTTGTCTAACTCTATCTCAATTTATATAAGATGGCACAATAAAAGATATCAACCTAAGGAATCCCTGTGTCTCGCATAATTCCAGGACCATCACAGCTAGAATGTCACTGTACCA